TTAGTTTATTATTAGTTCATCAGTTCATCAACTGAGGAATATAGTTATTAATGGAAACAGAAATAATATATGATGTGGTTTCTGCCTGTAATAATCATGAAACAAGGTGACAGAATAAAAACAATGAAAGTTAAATCACTTAACATAAGTTAGGCTTTATAACTTAATTGATTTAAAAATTGGAAAACTGCATTCAATTCAACAAACATTTATGGCACTACTAACTCAAAGACAAAATGAAATAGATAGAAGTGTACAATCTACTGAGGGGAAACAACATGTACATAAATATATAAGTACCAAATATGTACCAAAAAAAAAAAATAACTTGAGGGGTTGTGCTAATAAGGAAAGTTCACATAGAGGAGATAACACTGAGCTCAGACTTAAAGACAGCCAGGAATTCCAAGAGGCAAAGGTGGGGAAGGAGAACATTTCCAGGCAAGCACAGTCTTCTTTCAAAGGCACGGGTGTAGTTTATAGGCTATCATGGAAAAAAACAAGTAGGTCAGTTTGGCTAGAGAACTGATTATGTGAAGGGAGGAATGTGAAATCATTCTAGAAAGATAGGTTGGAGCTAGATTGTGAAAGACTTTAAATGCCAAACAGAAGTTTATACTTTCCTTAGAAGAAAGAAGGAACCAAACTGAAGATTCCTGAGCAGGCAAATACGACCTGTACTGTAGGAATATCAGTTTGGCAGCTTTATGGAAGATGGATTAAAATAGGAAAGGATTAAAGACAATGAGACCAATTAGAAGGCTACTGCAATATTCCAGATGAGAGGCAATAAAGCCCTGAATTAGAGTAGTAGCTGTGAAATTGGAGAAAGGAATGGATGTAAGAGACACTGTGGAGATAGAATTCACAAAGCTTGTCAACCAATGGGATATGAGAGAGTGAAGAAGTGCAGATGATTCCAAGGTAGCAAACCTGAGACCAGAAGGATGGTGGTATCCTTAATAGAAACAGGGAAGTCAGGAATAAGCATCAGTTTAGGGAGAAGGAAAATTAGTTCTATTATGGACATGCTAAATTTGAGATGCCTATGGGACATCCAGGTAGAGAACTGAGGGCCAGGCATATAAATTTTAGTCATCAGCAAATAAATTAAACTGGACACCAAGAAAACCAAAGATACCACCAAGATGGAGAGAAGGCTATCCCCAACAGAGCCCCAGAGTATATTCAGCACAGTCTAAAATGGAACAATCAGATAGGTAGGAGAATCAGAAGAAAAAAATATCATAAAAACCCAGGGAGGAGAAAGAATCCAGAAGAGGACAGTAAACAGTAGAAAACACTGCAGAAGTCAAGGATTGAGAAAAGGATGTTGAATTTAGCAATTAGGATACCGTTGGTAATTTGGAAATTTCAGTTTCAGTTGAGTGATGGAATAAAAAGCTAGCTAGAGGGATAATGAGAAAGTAAACCAATAAGTATAGATGGATTTTCTAGAAGTTTAGTAAGGAAAAGGATGAAAAATATAGGATGATAGTCTTAAGGAATGGTAGGACCAAGTAAAGATTGGTTACGGATGGGGCAAGTTTTTTCAATGAACAAAGAAGGAGCTAGTAAAGAAAACTAGAAGACTATAAAGATACTGGGGATGATACAAGGAATCAACTCTCAGAGTGAAAGGAGGGGATGGTAACAAAAGCATGAATAAAGGAGTTGACCCTGGCAGGAAGGGTGAAACAAAAGAGGAGGAAATGAAGGATCATTTCAATGTATGGAACAGGGAGAAGAAGCTCGCAATGCATGGCTTTGATTTTCATGCTGAATTATCGTGGTGAAGTATCCTGTCTGAGGAGAGGACAGGGACTGGTATAGATGGCACAAAGGGAAAAGAGGTTTGGCACCGACTGTAAGGAGTGTAAGTAACCAAAGGCTTGAACTAACATTCTCATCTCCAGATTAATAAACTAACAAAGTTATAATAGCCTGGAATGAGTCCCCAGACAGATTTAGGCAACATCTTAAAATGTTACACGGTACTAAAACAAATCTAAAGACTGAAACATAAATATCTGAGGAACAAGTTCTAAATATCCCTGCTAGTACATAATTATAAAATGTTCTGTTCAAAGGCCATCAGGGGATATGTACATACTCTCTGCCTTTTCTTTCTTGAAGTACTTCATTCCAGCCAATAAAGCTCCACCAACAGCAAATGTGAATGCCAGGGACTTCCAGGAAACGGGCTACTGGGACAGAAATTTCAACAGTAAAAATAATAGTAGGATGTAATTATGTAATCCTACTGATTTTACTATAATAAAACCAGAATGAGTACAAGTGGAATAAAATCTATATTGATATAAATATATCTAAGTCCCAATAACCAACCCAGCTATTTGATACAATGTATTTGAACATACACAAGTTTCCATTTACACTTTGATGAAATGCAAAGGAATACTCATACAGAATCACATACTGTACCCTGATTAAAGCGAAAATAAACTGAACATGTTAATCATAGAACCTGAAGGAGTAGTAAAAATGATACAAGGCAGCTCCATTTCTGAGTGCTACTACCTCTTCTCACTTCGGGTGATTGCCAATTTGTGATCATACTGATTTCTCTTTCAAGAAATAGGTCTTGCCTGTGTGTTATTTGCTAAGGTTATCTGAGGTTTTAAAATAAAATCCTTAAGATTAGAAGTAGTATAAATTGTAGGAAAAACTATGAGTCTTGAGTCGTTCTTCCCAGATAAAGACTATGATTTCCTCCTAGGAACATGAAACACTGTTTTGGCCTAAAAGGTATTTAATTCTCCTATAAAAGATCCTGGCTTCATGAAAATGCTATATATGAAAAGAAAAACAGACATGAGGTCAGAAGACACAGGTTTGAATCAAATTTGTGCAAATACCACCTAATTTGTTTGGTATGATTTCAGCTATCTTACAGTTCAGAAGATGTTAGAATTAGAAAGGACCTTAGCAATCATCAAGTCTAAACCTCTCATTTTTAAGAAAAAGCAAATAAAGGCACAAAGAGTAGCTCATTTAAGTGGTCTGCCCAAGGTCAACCAGCTTTTCACATCCTATCCAGAAGTTTCTTAACTTCTGGGTCTTTTCCCTCATCTATAAAATGGTGACAGCATTACCAACCTCAAAAAGTTATCATAGGTAATGTAATAAATACATATAATATACTTCATAAATACAAGGGATTATATTAATTTGAGGTGTGTGGTTTAAAAAACAAAATCCTATTATTAGTCTAAGATTAGAGGTAGCATAGAATAGTGAGTGGAAAGTCAACCTTGGAGTTAGAAAGAGCTGGGTTCAAGTCCTAACTCTGACACATAGGCTGTGTGACACTAAGCAAGCCACTTAACTTCCCAGAACAGCTGCTGATCTGCACTGATGGAAGAAATGTCCTACAACATTGAAATCACAGGCCTTAACCAACAGGAAAAAAAAAGTCTAAAGTACTTATGCGTGTTACTCCATAGGATTATAAAGAAGAAACTTTGTAAACCTTAAGGTACTATAAACAAGTAACATGTTATTAAGTCAGTCAAAAAACATTTATTAAGCCAGACACATTCCTAAGAGCTGGGGAAGAAAATAAAGGCAAAGGACAGTCCCTGCTCTTTCAAGAGCTCACAGTCAAAGAGGGGAGCCAACTATGCACAAACAAAACATACAAGATAAATTGGAAATAATCAACAGAGAGAAGGCATTAGCATTAAGCGAGGGTGGGGGGGTGATCAGCAAAGGGTCGCTGAGGGTGGGGTTTTAGCTTGGGCTTGAAGAAAGCAAGGAAAGGCAGGAGCGAGGATGAGGAGCAAAAGAATTCCAGGCCTGGGGGGCAGCCAGTGAAAATCCTCAGTCAGGAAATGGAGCGTCTCGTTCGAGGTCCCGCCAGGAGCCCCGTGTCACTGGACCGAGGGGAGGGCTTTGAACACCAAACTGAAAATTTTAATTTTTTTGCTCCTAGAGGTGATTATTAGTAATGATGATAATGACAAATGACAAGCGGAACGGCCTTCTCTATGGGATTCATGACCTGGGGAGGGATAAAAGTGGATGCAGGGCAGCTAGGTGGCCCAGTGGACAGAACTTCAAGCCCGGAATCAAAAAGACTCATCTTCCGTTTAAATCTGACCTCAGTCACTAGCTGTGTGACCCTGGGTAAGTCACTTAACCCAGTTTCATCTGTAAAATGAGCAGGAGAAGGAAATGGCCAACTACAGTGCGGGTTCCGGACAGGCGTGGCTTAGAGAAATGAGAGGGATGGGGAAAAGTGGGAAGGGAACGGGAAAGCTTGGCAGATCCCTCGGGACACCTCAGACTGGGCCCCGGACCCAGGCTTACTTACCCCCGGTGCGCGGGGGCCACTCTGGCCCTTGGTTCCTCGCGGCAGCGGCCCCGCGGTGGAGAAGGGCCGGCTCCCGCAGAGTCCATTTGCGACACCCGCTGACTGCCAAAGAGACAGAGGCCGCAGCGCCAGCTTCTCCCTGGCCCAGCCCGGGCCCGGGGGCGACCTTCTTCCTGCACCAACGAGCCCCGGGATGCCTCTCTCGCTCCCCAGAGCCGGCCTTCGGCACCACAGGTCTAGCAACGAAGGCCGCCCAGGGAGTCCCCGAGGGGCCACGGGGCCCCTGCAGGCGGACCACAGCGCCAACAAGGAGCTAGCCATTGGCTGAGGGGAGAGGACACCCGCGGCGAGCACCCCCTGTCGCTTTAACTTCCGGCTGAAAGGAAAAGGCGTTGTAGGGCCACTCTCGCCTGCTCGGTGCCGCGCTCGATGATTCCACCGGAAATGAGATTCGCCTTCCGGGTCATTTGGGGGAGCGCGGGTCTCGGAGAGAGGAAGCGGTAAGTTAGAGCGTGTAGGCGGTCTTGGGCTGGAGGTGGGTGTTTCCTTAGAGTCTGTGGCTTTTGCTTCCCCTTCCCAAGTCTCCCTGTGAATCCGGACAATCTCTGATAGGTGGAAAGAGGGAGAAGGAGGAGGCTGAGGCGGCTCCTTGGGAACCGCCATACCGCCGGATGGAGTGAGAATGGTCGGGAGATGGGTCAGGGGAGACAGGCCCCCATCAGCCCTTCTGGCCCGCGTTTGAGATGGTTTTGGAGGCCAGACCCTTCTCGAGAGCCGCTCCCACGGATCTTTGCGACCCCAGTCGTGTATAGGCATTGTGCTATCCTCTGGGACTGCTTATCCACTGGGACGTTCAGCAGTCAGTGCAGATAAGTGGTAGAAAGAACACCGGATTTGGAATCAGAAAAGTTGATTTCAGGTTTCTAAGTCCTCTTGGGCTTCTGTTTTCCTTATCTGTAAAAAAATCTGAAGGGGTTGGATGATTTGTAAGGTTGTCTCCAGTTATGATTATTCTGCCCTTCTCTGAACGTCATTTGGCTCTGTAAAATTAGGGAATTAGACTAAGATGATTTCTTTTTTCAACAACTACTTTTAAAACTCCTGCAATGTGCGGAGTTCAGTCCTAGGCCCTTGAGAGAGAAAGGGCTTTTCTGTTACAGTTTAAGATAGATTGCTTTCCTTAGCGAAGTGTGTAGGTGTTGGACTGATAAGATGTTACACAAGTTTTTGCAGTAATAAAAATGTTGGGCGCTTTTATACCATAAGACAGTATAACAGGAATGTCATAAAAATATAACAAAAGTGCTTCAAAGTGTTAGAGAATGCAGTTATTTCACCTCTTTGGGTCTCAGTTACATCCACGATAAAACAAAGTAGTTGGACTAGATCCTTAAGTGATTCCCAATCATTTATTAAGCACCTATTATTTTAAAAACATTGTATGGGCGAGGGGAAGGATAAGGAATATTAAGAAGGCCTCCTGCCTTCCCAAAGCTTTATTTCCAAACTTCTTCTAGACCTACCGTTACTACAAGAAAACAAAACAAAACAAAAAAACACCCTTTATAAACTGTTTATATAAATGTAACCTTTTGTATTCCTTCTACAGCTTTCTGTTTGAGAGAAATCATTGGGGTGGTAGTAAATTGGCTTCATAGTTTGTAATTTAGATATTGGAAAATTAACAAGATTTCCACTGAGGTGAAGAGGAGTGGAGGTATGGATTTGAAGGCATAAGAATCTGAAGCATTCTCTTCTGGCATGAGCATCAGAAGGAGAGAATAACCTATTTTGTTTGAAGATCAGTTAGATGAGGGAAGGTCTTAGCCCACATTCTGTTGGATTTCAAGCTGTTTTTTACTGTTCTTTGTATCCCCTGCACTTAGCACAGTGCTCTGGCACATTGTAGGCACTAAATAAATGTTTACTTCCCTCGTAGAATCACGTACACAATTAAAGAATTTAAAAAGAACTCTGGCGTTCAAAACTCTTCACAACTCCAACTTTCTAGCCTTATTATATATTATTCATCTTTGTCAATGAACTTTATCGTCCAGCCAAACTAGCCTTCTCACTTGTTCCTCATACAGAATATCCCATTCACCCTGGTCCATGTTTTGGCACCCTGGTCTATATTTTGGCACTTGAATTGGTCTGTCCCTCATTGTCTGGAATATACTTACTCCTCTCCTCTCAGAACCTCTAGTTTGCTTCAAAATTTGGCTCAAGCTCCACTTTCTACGTGAGGCCTTCGTTGATCCCCCTCAACTGTTAAGGCCTCTCCATATCAAAAATTATCTTGTATCTTTTGTGTATTTCTACATGAGTACATCATTAGTCTCCATCAATATAATGTAAGCCCAAGTAAAGGGAGTATTCATTTTTTCTTTGTATCCTCAGTACCTAGCACAGTAGGAGCTTAATAAATGCTTGATTGATTGTTAGACTACCACATACAAAAATAGTACTTTTGACCCACCATCATGGCAAGGAGTTTATTTTTGCTTTATTAGTGGTAGATTCCTAAAAAGCCATAGACATTTACTGAATACAGGGTGGTCCAAGATAAAGAATGAAGTCTTTGGTAATAGAATTCCAGTCTCAGTCCTTTTTTTTTCTTTTCTATCTGTTCCCAAACCCCTAGAACATATTTTATATCATCCACCAGGACACTTGGGTTAAACCATTATGGGCAGGGAGGATTTGCCATATGCCTTGTCACTGTGAGTTTTTGGGACAGATGATTTAAGCTGGTTCAGCCTCAGGATTAGAACTAAATGAGACACTCTTAGTATACTTAACACAAAAGGAAGTTGACTTCATAGTATGGAAAATATATTCAGAAAAGGTCAGTGTGAGTTCAGTTGGGGTTTGCTCCACTCTGCTTGGCATTTGCTAAGAATTGGGTCAGAAGAATATGTTGACTCATACTATAGGGGGGTTAAGGGCAGACATGAATCGGATCAACACCCTATTCAGGTTTGATACAGAGATGAAAGGAAGTAGGTCATTTATATCATTCAACAATTTAAAACAGATGTTATATCATGGAAAGGATACCAGCATTTGGCTTGGACAGATAGCCACTCCCACACCCCTATCTCCCTATGTAAATGTGTCTGTTAGCAAGATAGGGTATGGTAAATCAAATGGTTTTGGGACATCCTCGAACTCTGAAGGACCATGATCCAATATGGGTGGCCCTTAAGTGACTAGGAAGCCATGCCAATACACCTAGAGGCTACAGCATCAGGAGAAGCAGCTTGAACCTTGATACTCCCTGGGCTTATCAAGTTTTGGGCAGAGCTTTGTTGTTTTTTTAGAGAAAAACTGGCCTCACCCATGTTTTGGGGAGAGCAGAGAGCCCTGGTAGATCTTTGTCCTGTCACATGATATCCTATGGTGGCCAGGTCCCAAAGATAGAGGACCTTCTACCATTTAAATTCTTTTAAGAATTTTACTGGGACAACAGTCATCAGTAGTACTAAGGGAAGAGGTGGAGGGGGAGAAAGAAAATGGGGATGTGGAGTGGGGGGAGAGGAAAGCAAATTTTTTAAAAATTAATTTATTTTGATTTATATACAATCACTTCCATAAGCTTTGAGTTTTAAATTTTTCTCCCCCTCCTTCACCTCCTTCCCCAAGATGGCATGCAGTCAGATATAGGCTATACATATACATTCTTATTAAACATTTTCACATTAGTGATGTTGTAAGTAAGAATTAGAACCAATAGGAGGAACCACCAGAAAGAGGAAACAAAACACAACAGAAGAAAAAAATAGCAAATAGTATGTTTCAATTTGTATCCATACTCCATAGTTCTTTCTTTGGATGTGGATAGCATTTTCAGTCATGAGGCCTTTGGAGATGTCTTAGATCCTTGTGTTGCTGAGAAGGGTTAAGTCTATGAATATTAGTCATTGAACAACATGGTTGTTACTGTGTATAATGTTCTCCTGGTTCTGCTCACTTCACTCAGCATCAGACCATACAAGTCTTTCCAGGTTTTTGTGAAGTCAGCCTGTTCACCATTTCTTATAGCATAATAGTATTCCATTAAATTCATATACTACAACTTATTCAACCATTCCCCAATTGATGGGCATCCTCTCAATTTCCAATTCTTTGCCACTACAAAAAGAGTCGCTCTACCTGCTTTTGTATGTGTGGGTCCTTTTCCCATTTGTATGATCTCTCTGGGATACAGCCCTAGAAGTGCTATTGCTGGGTTAAAGGGTATGTATATTTTTATAGCCCTTTGGCATAGTTCCAAATTGCTCCACATAATGGTTGGATCATTTCACAACTCCACCAACAATGCATTAGTGTTTCAATTTTCTTACATCTTCTCCAACATTTATCATTTTCCTGTTTTGTCATGTTGGCCAATCTGATAGGTGTGATGTGGTACCTCAGAGTTGTTTTGATTTGCATTTCTCTCAGTAGTGATTTAGAGCTTTTTTCATGTGACTATAGATGGTTTAATTTCTTCTTCTGAGAACTGCCTGTTCATATCCTTTGACCTTTTATCAATTGGGGAATGACTTGTGTTATAAATTTGACTTAATTCTCTATATATTTTAGAAATGGGGCCCTTATCAGAGACACTGAAATTCCATTTAAAGCTATTGCAGACATTATAAAATATTTAGGAGTCTACCTACTGAAAGAAACCCAGGAACTATATGAACACAATTACAAAACACTTTTCATACAAATAAAGTCAGATCCAAATAATTGGAAAAACATCAGTTGCTCATGGGTGGGCGGATCTAATATAATAAAAGTGACAATTCTACCTAAACTAATTTACTTATTCAGTGCCATACCAATCAAACTACCAAAAAATTATTTTATAGAGTTAGAAAAAATAATGACAAGATTCATTTGGAATAACAAAAGGTCCAGAATATCAAGGGAACTAATGAAAAGAAATGTAAGGGAAGGTGGCCTCCTGGCCATACCAGATCTTAAATTGTATTATAAAGTAGCAATTATTAAAACTGCTTGGTACTGGCTAAGAAATAGAGTGGTGGATCAGTGGAATAGGTTAAGTGTGCAAGACACAGTAGTCAATAACTATAGTAATTTTTTATTTGATAAACCCAAAGACCCCAGCTTCTGGGATAAGAACTCACTCTTTGACAAAAACTGCTGGGAAAACTGGAAGAGTATGGCAGGAGCTAAGCATAGACCAAAATCTCACACCATATACCAAATTAAGGTCAAAATGGGTTCATAATGTAGATATAAAGACTGATACTGTAAGCAAAGTGGGAGAGCAAGGAATAGTTTACCTATCAGATTTATGGAGAACAGAAGAATTCATGACCAAACGAGACAGAAAACATTATGAAGTGCAAAATGGATAATTTTGATTACATTAAATTGAAAAATTTTTGCACAAACAAAGCCAATGCAACCAAGATTAGAAGGAAAGTAGAAAATTGGGAAAGAATTTTTACAACCGTAAAGTTTACCTGATTTGTAAAATATATAACCAATTTTTTAAAAAGCAAAAAAATCCCCCCAAAACCAAAAGCCTGACAACAATATAATGAAAACTTTTAACAATCTCCTTATACTCCCCATTGTGAAGGAATTATTAGAAATAAAAAATAATATTTTGAAAGAAAATAAAAGGATTAAGTCTCAGAACTTAACTATCAGGTCTATGTGATGAGTGATGCCAAATATTTGGAATTCATAGTGGGTCTGCTGATAAGAGAAAGTGATGAGCAAAAGCAGCACTAGGAACATCAGAGCCACAGCCTAGCTGACAACATCTGTGGCATAGTCATCAGGGTATCTGTAGTAAGGTGGCGTGAAAGGTCATAAGCCTTTTGCATGGTATCACAGGATCTAAATTGGTAAGGAGGGTATCCCAACACTTCTACCAACTCAGTATTCCCTGGC